TGGGTAGCTTTGGCCTAAGGACTGAAGAATTGTGAAGTAAAAAAGTTACAGAAAACTCAGCACTGCTGGCTTCAGTAGATGGATTGGGATGGATGGAGAAGAAAAATCAGATCAAAGCTATCCAGTCTTTTGATCCACCATGCTCGGAATTAACGGCTTAATACTACAGAGAGGTGGAAAATCCTTTGCGATGGCTCTTTAATCTGTTGCTTTTCTACTCGCCCTTGACTGCAATTTCCATCAGGAGTTACTCTGGTGCACTGACCTCTACATCGCCGAGGCCAGGCGCCAACTCTCCGACACCTCCTCCTACCGCCCCCTTGATCATGACCCCACCCCCGACCACCAAACTATTATCTCCCAAACCATCCACAACCTCATCACCTCAGGTGACCTCCCACCCACAGCCTCCAACTTCACCGTTCCCCAACCCCGCACCGCCCGCTTCTATCTCCTTCCCAAAATTCACAAACCTGATTGCCCTGGTCGACCCATTGGCTCCGCCTGCTCCTGCCCCACCGAACTTATCTCCACCTATCTCGACTCCATTTTCTCCCCCTTAGTCCAGGAACTCCCTACCTACGTCCGTGACACCACCCACGCCCGAACCCTAACCCTATCCTCCAGAACTTCCAATTCCCCGGTCCCCAACATCTCATCTTTACCATGGACATCCAGTCCCTATACACCTGCATTCCCCATACAGATGGCCTAAAGGCCCTCCGCTTCTTCCTGTCCCGCAGGCCCAACCAGTCCCCCTCCACTGACACCCTCATTTGCTTAGCCAAACTCGTCCTCACCCTCAACAACTTCTCTTTCAATTCCTCCCACTTCCTACAGACAAAGGGGGTGGCCATGGGTACCTGCATGGGCCCAAGCTATGCCTGCCTCTTTGTAGGTTACGTGGAACAATCCCTCTTCCGTACCTACACTGGCCCTAAACCCCACCTCTTCCTCCGTTACATTGATGACTGTATCGGCGGCGCCTCGTGCTCCCACGAGGAGCTCCAACAGTTCATCCACTTCACCAACACCTTCCACCCCAACCTTAAGTTCACCTGGACCATCTCTAATACCTCTCTCTCCTTCCTGGACCTCTCTGTTTCCATCTCCGGCAACCACCTCGAAACCGATATCCATTTCAAGCCCACCGACTCCCACAGCCACCTAGAATACACCTCCTCCCACCCACCTTCCTGCAAAAATGCCATCCCCTATTCCCAATTCCTTCACCTCCGCCGCATCTGCTCCCAGGATGAGGCATTCCACACCCATACATCTCAGATGTCCTCTTTTTTCAAGGACTGCAACTTCCGCCCCTCTGTGGTCGAGAATGCCCTCGACCGTGTCTCCCGCATTTCCCGTAACTCATCCCTCACACCCCGTCCCCGCAATAACAACCAAAACAGAATCCCCCTCGTCCTCACGTACCACCCCACCAACCTCCGGATCCAATGCATCATCCTCTGACACTTCCGCCATCTACAATCCGACCCCACCACCAAAGACATTTTTCCCTCCCCACCCTTATCTGCTTTCCGGAGGGACCACTCTCTCCGTGACTCCCTTGTCTGCTCCACATTCCCCTCCTCACCTCACCCGGCACTTTTCCCTGAAACCGCAGGAAGTGCTACACCTGCCCCTACATCTCCCCCCTCACCCCCATCCCAGGCCCCAAGAAGACTTTCCACATCAAGCACATGTTCACCTGCACATCTGCTAATGTGGTATACTGTATCCGCTGTTCCCGTTGTGGCCTCCTCTACATCGGGGAAAACAAGCGGAGGCTTGGGGACCGCTTTGCAGAACACCTATGCTTGGTTCGCTCTAAACAACTGCACCTCCCAGTCGCGAACCATTTCAATTCCCCCTCCCATTCCGCAGACGACATGTCCATCCTGGGCCTCCTGCAGTGCCACAACGATGCTACTCGAAGGTTGCAGGAACAGCAACTCATATTCCGCTTGGGAACCCTGCAGCCTAATGGTATCAATGTGGACTTCACAAGCTTCAAAATCTCCCCTCTCCCAACCGCATCCCAAAACCAGCCCAGCTTGTCCCCGTCTCCCTAACCTGTCCTTCCTCCCACCTATCCCCTCCTCCCACCTCAAGCCCCACCCCATCTCCTACCTACTAACCTCAACCTGCCCCCTTGACCTATCCGTCCTCCCTGGACTAACCTATCTCCTCCCTACCTCCCCACCTACACTCACCTTTACTGGCTCCATCACCGCCTCTTTGACCTGTCTCCTCTCCACCTATCTTCTCCCCTATCCATCTTCTATCCACCTCCCCCTCTCTCCCTATTTATTTCAGAACCCCCTTCCCCTCCCCCATTTCTGAAGAAGGGTCTAGGCTGGAAATGTCAGCCTTCCGGCTCCTCTGATGCTGCTTGGCCTGCTGTGTTCATCCAGCTCTACACCTTGTTATCTCAGATTCTCCAGCATCTGCAGTTCCTACTATCTCTGAAACAATTTTAACCCCCATCAGGAGTTAAACGTATTCCTCCCATTTGCCGCTAGGTGACTCTAATGACCAATTGTACACTTGGAACAACTCCTGTATGAACTTACATTCAGATAAAACCGTCCTCATTCACCGGTCAAAAAGATACACTGGAAATGTTTGATCATTCACTGGTGGTTTTCAAATGAGGGCGGGCTAGGGGTTCTGTTGATGTAATGTCCTCAATAGTCGTTTTGTTCAATAATTTTGAAATCTACGTGATATTATTATATCTTTGGCGCAGATTGACGGCATTAGTTATTTAGATAAATATCGCATATATGTAAAACTTCAAAGTCTTTTGATTACTAGCGTAAAAGTATTTTCCCGGATGTGATTGAGAATGAAACTCAAAGGCTGAGGAAAGGTCACCAGACCCGAAAAGTTAACTCTGATTTTTTTCTTCACAGATGCTGCCAGACCTGCTGAGCTTCCAGCAACTTTTGTTTTTGTTCGGTCTTTAATTAATGCGGCAATTTTTTTACGCTAAAGGTCTTCTAGATGGAATTTACTAAATCGAGGCGCAAAGAATATCTTAACGCCACTTCCATTTTGGAGCACTAACATTTATTCTGAAAAAAAAACAGAATGCTGGAGAAACTCAGCAGATCTTGTAGCAAAAACAGAAATTGCTGCAGAAGCTCAGAGAGAAATCAGAGTTAACGTTTCGGGTCTTTTTGTTTCTGATTTACAGCATCCGCAGTTTTTTTTTCGGTTTTTACTTCGGTCTTGTAGCATCTGTGGAGAGAGAAATTTCGAGTTCAATTCGAGCCCAGTTCTGAAGAATTCATTCTGGACTCGAAAAGTCAACGCTGTTTCTCTCTCCACAGATGCTGCCAAACCTGCTGAGTCCAGCACTCTTGTTTTTAAAGCTGAACTGATTGTTACTGGAGTTGATTAATCACTCCCCTAAAGATTGGATCTGTTTACCGTGCAAAAATTAAAAATAAAACTGACAAATCAGTGTACGAAAATAAAACAAAGAATTGCGAGTGCTGGAGAAACTCCGCAGCTCCAGCAACATATGCCAATGTATGGAGAAGGGCAAGTGTGTGTCTTTAATTTGGTGTTCCGGCAGTTTTATGGCTGCTAAAAGATCTCCAATTCAACTAGCTAAGTGGGAGCAAATTACTGCAGATGCTGGAATCTGTACTGAAAACAGCAAATGCTGGAGATCACAGCGGGTCAGGCAGCATCAATGGAGACTCGAAACGTTAGCTTGCTGGCTCTCCATCATGGATGCTGCCTGAGCCGCTGTGATCGCCAGCATTTGCTGTTGTAACCAGCTAAGGACTCGTTGGGATGATCACTGACAGGGCTAAAACGGTTAGATGAACCTCAGTAGTATTCTGCTGGCTGTATTCTAGCGGAGTGGTTACCTGACTCCATCAAAGCGCTGCTTAATGTAAAACAAACACACAAGGTTGCAGTTAGATTTCTAATACAAGCATGTTGTAAGAAACCGAGCTGGATTGAAAGGGCAATGGGGAAACCATCGCCCTGTGAGGTATGACAGTAACAACAGTTACCAGCTTCCACCCCCCCCGCCCCCCAACCCGGAGACAAACGCTGATGTGACCAAATAGCTAGAATGAGTTTTGAAAATCTAAACATTATCTCTCCCCCGTATCCAATGGACTGGGAGGTCACACTCCTGCTTTATTGAATCCCCAGGGAAGCGCTCGCCTCCGCCTCTCCAGGAGGCAAAAGGCACTGGATCTGAAATTGGCTCTGCCACTGGCCAATCACCTTTGGTGGGAGGAGGTAACAATCGGCTTGTACAGGGAGAGAGAGAGGGCGGTTTAATTTAAAGAATCAATGGCTAATAATTCAGATCCAGGTCGCATGATGATACACAAAGGCATCAAAAGACGTGGCAAATTCTGCTCTTTAAAGCTGCTGCTTCTGTCCTCTCTCACTGATGCAACCAAGTGCATTTGGAACCCAGGAGAGAAGGGAGGGGGTGGAATTCCTTTAGATATTCCCATTCCCCTCAATGTTGTTAACACAACTGCAACGTGTGAAGGAATCGTGTTTAAGAGCTAACACTCCATTCGTTGGCCACATTGTCAATTTTCTGAATGAACAAGCGAGCAAGGAAATATTTAAAATCAGGAGTTCAACTCAGTGAGGAGGGGGGAAGGGGTTATCACCTATGCAGACTGTCACTGCGTGCAATAACATGCATGTTTCTGTACAGAACTGCACACATTTCCATGTAAACCGGAGTAAACTCTAGGGGTTTTTTTTTACAAAAAGTTGGAAACCGCCAAAGGCAGTTATCGAACCCTCCCCTCTTTCCTTAAGAAATATTACGCCGAAGTTTTCGATTACTCCTCCTCTGGCCATCGCCTTCCCTTCTCTCTGTCCGACCTCTCTGCTATCTGTTCTCTGTATTGAGGAGGGGGTGGGTGGTCGATCCATGGCCGGGGCCCGTGCATCGCCCAGTCTGCTTGCAAAACCTCCTTTCAGCCGATGCAACTTTTAATCGAACCATGCCTGTTCTGGGAGGACGTTTGATCACGGGCGTCCCTCTTCTCTTCAACGTCTTCAGCTTTGTGGCAGCCAGCCACGGTGGCCTCCAGCTGGACAGTTTGCAGTTTGCAGATGAGAAACAAGGTTTGTCATATTTTCGTTAACAGACTTACCCCCCCGCCAGGGGTCCACTCATTGCTGCTGCACGTAGTGCACGGGTGGATTCCCCCCTCAGTGTTTGCGAGTTGGGGGACGGGGATGAGGGCTAACAACTGGGGTCACTCCGGCTTGCTGGAGTAATCCCATAGTCACAGCAGCGGCGCGCTGTGGAGGATCGTATGCTCCATTGGTTTGTGTCTTTTCCTTCTCTCTTTCAGAAAAGTTTATCAGGAGTTTGCAAAGTTACGAAATAGTGCACCCCATCAAAGTGGACGAACGTGGAGCTGTTCTGTCCCCGAACGTCACTTATTATGTCAACCATGTTAAAAGGAGAGACCTTAACAACAGAGAGGAGCATGTTTATTACCAACTCGTCCACCGAGGGCAAAAGCTGCTTTTCAACTTGACACTCAATCACCCCTTCCTTTCGCCAGGCTATGTCCTAGAGAAAAGATACGGAAACGTAACTGGTACCGTCGTTCAGAGTCCTACAGGGAACGCGTGTCACTTCATGGGCAGAGTGGAGCACCCACATCTGGGGAGTGGCAGTGCTGCTATCAGTACCTGCAGAGGACTGGTAAGTGAGGAGGAGAGCCAGTGCAACCAGCAGAAGATTATGCAAGGACTGAGTTGACTTTAATCTTGGAGGATTTATGAAGAGAAAGCCTCTGGACTTGATAGCAAGTTCAATAATTTTAGGGCCTGAGTACCTTCTTCCATGTCCTTACCCCAACCCCCACACGACCTCTGTCCCCAGCCCCCACATGGGCTGTTATCACAGCAACCCATTGTCAGCTACTAACAGTCTCCATTAGCAGCTTTTCATTCTCCCAGGCTGACCTTTATCCATTCCTTTGTCTGTCCAACTGTTGTACTCTCTCTCTCTAGGCTCCATCTCCACCTACTGTTTATTTCTCCTCTCATTCCATCTTTGGCATATATACCAACCTCTTCCTAGCCACAATCAGTTGAGGAAGGGTCACTGGACTCAAAACAGAAGGGTCTGAAGAAATTTCTGAAGAAGGGTCTAGGCCCGAAACGTCAGCCTTCCTGCTCCTATGATGCTGCTTGGCCTGCTGTGTTCATCCAGCTCTACACCTTGTTATCTCAGATTCTCCAGCATCTGCAGTTCCTACTATCTCTGAAACAGGAAGCTCAGGTTCATTTTTGCCAAACATCTATGTTCTGTCCACAATGTGTTCATTCACTCTTCCCAATGTAGAGGAGACCACACTGTGAGCAGCAAATACAGTCAACTAGATTGAATGGAACACAGGTAAATTGCTGCTTCAGCTGGAAATAACTGCTTCACCACACACCAGGCCTTGTCATCACATGGACTGCTTCCACAACCAACCCATTGTCAGCTACTAATGGTCCCACTTAGCATGTATTGATTCTGCCAGATTAATTTTGACCCATTCTTTTGTTTGTCCAAAAACAAAGTTGCTGGAAAAGCTCAGCAACTCTGGCAACATTTGTGAAGGAAAAATCAGAGTTAATGCTGCAGGTCGGGTGACCCTTCCTCAGAACTGATGGTGGCTGGGAAAACATCAGTTTATATGCATAAAATAGGGAGGTGGGTGAGGTAGGGAGTAAACGATAGGATAGAGCCCAGAGAGAGAGAAAGACAGTTGGACAGACAAAGGAGTTGCTAATGATCAGGCTGGGAGGGTGAATAGTTGTTAATGGGGACTGTTAGTGACTAACAACAGGGGGTGTGTAATGGCAGGCTATGTGGTAACAAGGTCTGGTGGGCGGGGTAGGGGGCTGGGACATGGGAGAGTTTAAGCCCTAAAATTATTGAACTCGATATTGAGTCCGGAGGGCTGTAGGGTCCCCAAGTGAAAAATGAGGTGTTGTTCCTCCAGCTTGTCCACCTGTTTTTCTCTTTCTTTGGGCTCCATCTCCACCTTTACGCCTCTGCCCGCCCCACTTTCAGCATATTATACCAAACTTTTCCTAGCTACTTTATAAAAAACAAAAGATCCATGGCTGCTGTAAATCAGAACAAAACAAAAATTGCTGGAAAAGCTCAGCAGGTCTGGCAGCATCTGTAGAGAGAAATTGGAGTTAATGTTTCAGGTCCGATTTTCGGTTCCTCAGAACTCAGAACTTGCTGAGCTTTTGCAGCAATCTCTTTTTTTTTCCCTAATTACTACCAGTTCTAAAGAAAGTTCACCAGACCTGAAACACTAACTCTGATTTCTCTCCACAGATGCTACCTGACCTGTTAAATTTTCCCAACAATCTCTATTCTTGTTTCTGATTTCCAGCATCTGCAGTTCTTTGAGTGGTTGATTTTGGCTTTAATCTTATTGGCAGGAGGCTAATTAGCTGTTCTCTCTCACCAGTCAATCCAAAACAAAACTCTACTGATTGATTGACTTCCAAAGACATGATAGAGCATATCACAGCACACACCAGAAATGATTAGACCTGCCAAGGTTTGCCAGTAGAGGATTGCAGTCATTCATACAGAACAAAGCTGTGAAAGCTGGAGGTCTGAAATGCTAGGAAATGCTAGAAATGCTCAGTGAGCCAAAATCGTTAATGTGGAGAAAAATGCGTAATTTGTTTCAGGCACAACCCTGTGTCAATTCAATTGGCCCATTCTCCAATTCAGTTGGTCCATTCTCTGCACAACTGCTACTGTTCCCGACTTGCTGAGTGATTCCAGAATTTTTCTAGCTTTATGAAAGTCATGCATTGTCATATATATTGATGATTGTGAGGTTATCTGCTTTGACAGCATAAGCAAGCAGGCAGATATTATTTGAATGGGGATAGTTTGAGAAAGGGAGAGGTGCAATGAGGTCTGGGTGATCATGTTCACCAGACACCTAAGGTAAGCATGCGATGCAGGCAAATGGAACCTTGGCCTTTATAGCAAGAAGTTTCAAGTAGAAGAGCAGGGATGTCTTATTGCAAAATTGTACAGGGTTGTGGCATGACCACATCTGTAGTATTGTGTGCAGATTTGGTCTCTGCAGAAAGATGTGCTGGCTATAGAGTGATTGCAGCAAAGGTCTACCAGACCTGGTTTGGCAGCACTGACTTTCGAAGGGAGACTGAATTGATTAAGATTATATTCACTGGAGTTTAGGAAAATGATTGGGGGTTGTCTCATTGAAAGCTATAAAATTCTAATAGAACTAGACAGGGTAGATGCAGGAATGATATTCCCATTGACCAGGAAGTCCAGAACCGAGGGTCAAAGTCTAAAGACATGGGTAGGCCATTTAGGGCTGGGAGGAGAAATTTCTTCACCCAGAGAATGATGAACCTGTGGCATCCTCTGCCACAGAAAGCTGTTGAGGCAAAAATATTGGCTAGTTTCAAGAAGGAGTTGGATGCAATTCTTAGGGCTAAAGCAATCAAAGGGTATGGGGAGAAAACAGTGACAAGGTACTGAGTTGGATGATTAGCCATGATTTATATTGGTGAAGCAGGCTTGGTGGACCAAATGGCATAGTCTTGTTCTTGTTTTCTACGTCATATTTAATCCTCAATACAATTAACCTGTTTTAACACTACATTATCTTTGCTCTCCAGCTATATGGTTTCCATACCTAAGAAATGCAAGATAAGGAAGTGTTTTAACTTTTTCTGAAGATAACATTGTTATAGATCAAGACTGGACCAATATGTTATTCTGTTGTCGAAAAGAGATAAGTGGTCTTTGCTGATGAATAAAATCAGAAGACATAGGAGCAAAAGGAGTCCATTCACCCGAAGGAGGTGGCTGTACCTTTCAATGACGTAATGGCTGATCTGACAATCCTCGACTCCACTTTGCTGCCTTATCTGTCGATTCTCTTACTGATTAAAAATCCATCTCAGCTTTGAATATATTTAATGACTGAGCCTCGGCAGCTTTCTGCCAAAAAGAATTCCAAAGATTGACTATCTTCTGACAGGAAAAAAATCCTCCCTGTTTTTGTTTTAAATAGGAGGACCACTTTCTCTGAGATTCTGCTCACTGATCCTAGTCTTTCTCACAAACAACCTCTCGACATCTACCCTGTCAAGTTCACTAAGAACTTCTGGTGTTTCACTAAGCGTCTCATCTCATTCGTCTCAACTTTAGTGAGTTCAACTCCAACCCACTCAGCCTGTCCTCATATTAAAATCCCTCTGTACCTGGAATCTACCCATTGAACATTCTTCAGACTGCTTCCACTGCCGGTATATGTCTCTTTAGATAAGGGGTCCAAAACGTTTCACATTATTCCAGGTAAAGTCTGACCAGTGCATTGTGTTCATTTAGCAAGATCTCATTCCTATACATCAGAGATAGTAGGAACTGCTGATGCTGGAGAATCTGAGATAACAAGGTGTTAAGCTGGATGAACACAGCAGGCCAAGCAGCATGACGTTTCAGGTTTGGACCCTTCTTCAGAAATTGGGGAGAAGAAGGGGATTCTGAAATAAATAGAGAGAGAAGGGGAGCCGGATGGAAGGTGGATAAGGGAGCAGATAGGTGGAGAGGAGATGGACAGGTCAAGGAGGTGGGGATGGAGCCAGTAAAGGTGAGTGTAGGTGGGGAATTAGGATGGGGGTTGGCCTACTGTGTTCATTCTTATACACCAGTCTCTTTGAAATGTAAGCTTACATTCTGTTTTCCTTCCCTGTTACCCATGTGTTTGTTTTCCTTTGCGATTTGTGCACAAGGATGGCTAGTTCCCTCTGTGACGCAGTTTCCTGCAGTCTTTCTCGATTTAAATAATATTCCCCATTTAATAATAATAGGAATCCTCCATCTTGTGATGAGAGATTATATAGTGGATGGAGAGACACAGGACAGGAAGGTTCCTGGATTAATGCCAGATGTTATGAGCTAATTGCAGTTTGTTTAGGTTTGGTCATTGTAATTGGCATCACCAATGGCATCTATCAAACCATGCGGGATATGTGTATGCATGTGAGGAAAAAAATGTGAAGCCTATGCTGCTGAACAGCTTTGTGGTACTCACTGCTTAAATGTTGAGCAATAACTATGTGGACAAAGTATAGAGGTGCCGATGGAATTGTGATCTGGTAAGGTGCGTGGTATTGAGGAGACAGGTATATGAGATGAAAGGTTTGTTTCACTTTTTCAAGAAATATCAATCATCTTGTCAAATATTTTTTAGATGATGAATCTGAACAACAGTTTGACGTTGAGGAGAACTCTGCGGGCATTGAATTGCTTTTATATAGTGCTGTGTTTTCCTTTAAATTGTGTGCCGAATGTGATTTGATATTGCTCATTGCACTGCTCTTAAAAATTATATTTATGCCAAATCTATTAGAGGCATTATAACTGTGGTCACCAAATCTGTACTCTAACAAATCTTTGACTTTCATAGCCTTGACATTATATACCACCTGTGCGTTTTTGTAGTTCACATCAATAATCAACCCTCATTGCTTCTATTGAGAGAGCAGTGTGATGCTGTGAGGAGAGAAACATTTTCTAGCTTTGTTCATTCTACATTTCGGGTCACTGTAATTCTTCTGAGTTGAAATGTTTTAAATTATATTTGTTCTATTTGTTCCAGGGACGTAGCCATCATCAGACCAAATGTATTGTTG